CCGGACGTGGCCCGGGCGGCGGGAGACAAAAACTTGATCAGGTGACGTAATACCCAATGGGGCTGGTTTCGCTCCATTGTGATCATTATTAAATGTGAGACACAACTCGTTTTGGAACGGTAATGTGCGTGGCAAGCATCTCTTTACCAACACCTTCCCTCTATTATTGACGCGCCACAGAGCGCGCAGTGGGCATAAAGAAACTGGACCAGCGTTGCCACCCCGAAAGCTTTATCACGCTTCTCGAAAAATGGTTGATTTTTACGTGAGCAGATGAAATGAGGTGATTACTGTCATACTAAAGAATAACGCCGCATGAACCTTCAGGCATTGCCAAATTTCCTTTGGTAAATCATGAATTTTCGAGAAAATAGGTGAACATTTTTCTTCCAATTTTTCAGAAAATTTCGTTCACAGTTTTACCTACGGTTCTTGAAAATGTATCGGAAAAATATTCGAAAATAAACATTTTATCGAAGGAAATTCGGCAACTCTCGAATGGTCATACGGCGTTTTTCCTTAGCACGGTAGATCAGTCATTGGCTTCCCTTTGGCGTATGATTTGTTTTTTTTTGTGTTTTTTTTTGTATTTTTTGTTTTTTTGGAATAAAAAAGGTAATTTTTGAACAAAAAAGGTGGCGTATGATTTGTTGCGTCGTCTAAGTTAATAATCTACGTAAATTTTTACGGAAGACAACGATTACCTCTATCAGTAGCGAGGCGTGAATGTATCGATACCGCCCCATTTGAAGCTGTGGTACAGAATCGATTATTAAGGTGTTCGCCGCGAACACATCGATCCTTTCCCATAGGTTCAAATGGCAAATCAATCGATGTATCGCAAAGTGCGCCACGCAACTGACCAACGCACGATTCCAGAGAATCATTTGCCACGACAAATTTCGAATTCATCGGAATAATACAGGATTAAACCACGGGAGCAGTAGCGCATTCGGCAAATAAATGGATGTTTCGATTGAACGCGCAATTTTTTTGATAATCAAATCTTGCCTTAAAATGTCAAATCTTGTAATTTTCTTCATTTGACATATTTTTGTTGTTGTTTTCCCATGCGCACTGCCGATGGGATATTGTTATGCATTATTGGCTTACACATGTAAAAAGTTGCTTTTACAACATAATCGCTGCGATATATGATCCTTAGTTCGGCCGGAACTGGAGCCCGGGACGGACCACCCTTAGCCTCGATTATACGCGACCATCCGCGATTATTCGAAAACCGCGGGTATAGGAAAATTAATTTGCACGGCTTTAAAATTTGACAGGAGCGGATTCGATTTTTAATGGNGGGGGGGGGGGGGTGACCTCAAGACTTGCTCTTATAAAAATTGCTCTGGTTCCAAACGAGATGCCCTTGCACCCTGAAATGAGCGGATCAGCAACACGTAAAGAAGCATTAATATTCTGCCGTGCTAAGGAAAAACGCCGTATGAACATTCGAAAGTTGCCAAATTTCCTCTGATAGAATGTGTATTTTTAAGGAGATTTATGAATATTTTTCCTCGAAATCTTTAGAGACTTTAGGTAAAATTACGAACAATGTAATCTGAAAAATTGGAAGAAAAATAATCATGAGTTTTCTCAAAAATTTGTGTTTAATCGAAGGAAATTTGGCAACGCCTGAAGGTTCATACGGCGTTTTTCCTCAGCACGGCAGTATTGTGTTCAACAGTATAGAAAAAATTAGAAATGATCGTAGAAAAATTTGCGACATTTTTATGCCAAAAGGCAACGTATGATACAAGCAGTTTTGATTCCTTCGGTACCGCGAAATAATTCTAATATGCGATTTCCTTTGAGATATTGAGGTAGTATAAACAAACAGTCGCGGAGCAGAACGGATCACATTTGTACCTAAAAGTAACATTGATAAAAAAGAAGTATGAAAAAAATTATAATTAAACATGTATGCATCGAAGTGCCATACTTAATGGACAATTTTTTTTTGTTTTTTTTTTCAATATACCTGAAATTCTCTTCAGTGATATCTTGTTTTAAAAGTAACCTGACGATATCACAGGTTTGCTTCAACTCTCACGCCTTCATATTTCACACCCTGACTACCGCGCTGAGGAAGAACGCCGTATGAGCATTCGAGAGTTGCTAAATTTCCTTCGATGAAACGGTTATTATTAAGGACATTTATGAATATTTTTCCTTGTAATTCTCAGGGACTTAAGTTGAAATTGCGAGCAAAATCATTTAAAAAATCAGAAGAAAAATATTCATACCGTTAGCAGGAAATTCGTGTTTTATCAAAGGAAATTTGGCAACGCATGCAGGTTCATACGGCGTTCTTCCTTAGCACAGCAGCTTACACTCTTGACTTTCCACAAAGGTCACCAAAAACATTACTGCACGTTTCAAGTACCAAACCGTACAATAATATTAACGGTTATTATTGAATATTTCTTGAAAGAATTTGTTAATTTCCAAAAAGTGCGAGTGATAAATGCACAGCAAAGTATTCACTAGTTTTATCGAGCGGCATGAGGGCTCGTTTTGCACGAGAACGCGACGCGATGTCGGTTATAACGCCTTGATACAACTATTCGAACTTCAAGGATGTCTGGGTTGCATATACACATCGACGAAGGCGTTTTAACTTTTTCATCCTCCCGGCCTATGGGAGCAACGACTCTGCGCTTGCGCTCTAGTTTAAACCGTTTCTGCAATGAAACACTGGATAAAAAACACATTGGATCTAGAGTCCAGACTCTTAAAAACATCGACAAGAAAAAATACTCTTGATTCAAGCAGATTTAAGCTTAAATCAAGAACCAAGCCTCTTAATTTGAGCGGATTTCCTTTTGAGTTAAGCTCAAAGCTGATTGAATCAAGAGTCCTTTTTCTTGTCAATGTTTTCAAGAGTCTGGACTCTAGCCCCAATGTGTTTCTTTTCCAGTGAAGAAGGAAAAAGATGGCCGAATGCAAACCCAAGCATCTCCGTTTGCGACTTTGCAGATTTGCTGACATTCTTTATTTTCTCTTCGGAAAAGCAGTCAACTTAACTTCTTAAAAACCTCCTTGATTTTTCTCCTCTGTTGGCAGAATATTCTGTAAGTGTGTCAAGTCAAGAAGTTGGTTCATCTCTCTTCGAAAAAATAAAAAAGGAGTGGAAATTTTGTAACATCGCAATGGAGGCACGTGGTTTCGCCCTTTGGCCTGCGATATAACGATTGCAAAAATATTACAAACCAAGAAAGTACAGCCGGAAAAACTCCTTATTTTGGTTTTGAAATTGAGAAGTGAACTTATGCATTTAATTTTTACGAGTTCGAGATTAATTTCCCTTAATTCTTCGTCCTGTGACTTTTCCTCGCTATTCCAATAGAACGAAACCACACATCTCCGTTTGCGACGTTGCAGAATTCCTGTCAAATTTTATTTTCTCTATTGAAAAATAGTCAACGTAATTCTTTGAAAACCCTCTTGATTTTTTATATCTGTCGACAGAATATTCTGCATAAACAGGCTTTGAAGTTTGCCTGTTTCACTTTGAAAAAATCAAGAGGGAGTGGAAATTTTGAAACACCGAAATTTAGATCCCGGGTTCCGCGTTTTTTTTTTTTTTTGTAATTATACAAGTCGAGTTGTAAAACAGTTCCTTCCTATTTTCAATCGGGCTTATACACTGAGAAAATTTTTCGGTAACATCTACTGTAAGTCTACTTGATTTTTTACACAGTTATACTATTTAGTGAAAATAACCACCGAAAATCACTGAAAAAAAAAAAGATTATAGGTTTTATCAAACCCTGACACAGTGATCCGAGTATGCCAATGAACACCAGACCTTATGGTAGCATTTGCCATATTACGGTAAGTATAGCCAGAGTTCTGGTGAATACTACCGTAATTCTGGTTATTTTCACTAAATAGCATCACTGTGTAAAAAATGAAGTAGACTCATTGTATATATTACTATACTTTGTTTTTCAGTGGCAAAAAGAAACTATGTGCATAGGGTTTGCGTGGAACACACCGGAAAAAAAAAAAAAAAAAAAAACTTATTGGATCTAGAGTCTAGACTCTTGAAAACATTGACAAGAAAAAATACTCTTGATTCAATCGGATTTTTGCTTGAATCGAAACGAAATTCGCTTAAATTAAGAGGCTCGGTTCTTGATTTAAGCTAGATTCTGATTGAATCAAGAGTACTTTTTCTTGTCGATGTTTTTAAGAGTCTGGACTCTAGATCCAATGTGTTTTTTTCTTTTTTCCAGTGCACACTGAAAAAAAAATCTCGGTGTATTTACTAAGAAAAGGGTAAAATTACCAAGAATTCAGGGTTCTATTTGATCCCAGTTTTTTCTTGGTAAAATTACCATTTATGGGATTTACCGGGAAATCTCGGTAAAATTATTGACTTTCTCGGTAATTTTACTGGACCCCGGTTAAAACGCCAATATTTTTCATCGACTGTGGTAGAATTACCGAGATAAAATGGCCAAGTTACCGGGAATTGATTATCAATAAAAGTTGTATTCTTACCTGAGAAAAACAGTAAATTACCGGTTTTTAGGTAAGCTTACCAGTCTGTCTTGGTAAAATTACCAATAATTGGTAAAAAAAGTGAGATGGTAAAGGTACCAACGGACCTTGGTAAAAACGCCGAGAATTTTTTTTCAGTGCACAGTTCCTTTTACCATGAATACGTCCCGTTTCGTCTCGACGCCCACGATCAGCGGCAACGTCGAGACCGAGTCATGTAAGACGAGAAAAAGAAAGTTGTAATCCTTAAGCTCCTGACTTCCTGAATTCATCTCCTCTTGTGCGCGCGCGATCTGATCCAAGATCCGAAACAGTGCCCCCGACCCCCTCTCCCCGCTTCAGAATCCAGCGTTGCCAAATCGTGCGGATCGTGGCCCCGAAACCCTCGCGCTCTCCTGAAAAACCCGGTCGAGTGCGGCAAGCTGGCTTTTTTTTTGCCGGGGCAGTAAGACTTACTCTGGTCAGCATCAACACTCATTTGGAATTGATACTTGCGGACGTTCATTGCACCTTGCGCACCGGCTTCCTTCTTCGGCGATCCCGCATCGATTTTTAACCGCGGAGCGCACTCCAGTCATGAACCGGTTGTTTCGTTTCCAGTTCCCGTAGATCACGTAGATAGAGTTTTAAAGGAGGTATTATCCCATTTTGGAAGTGTAAATTATTTGGACTTTGGATATTTTTAGGAAGATGGATATCTTTAAATATGTAAGTGTATTCTTTTCTCGATAATTACAGTTTGTGTCACGATTTTTGAACACTCAGCCGATAGGGAGCGCTTCTCATTTCAACCTGCCTCTAGAATTGAGGGGCTTGGAAGACAAGGCGCACAAGTGCATTTTTTGGAAAAATTGGAATATTGATGATTTCAAGTAAAACTAGTCTTAATGCACACTCTGTGAAAAATTCGCTCCCAAATTTCAATGTTCAAGCATCAAAAAGTCAGTGTAAACTTTCTTTCCGCTGTAAGGATCCATGTAATTTCGAAACTTCAAACATTTATTTCTCGAAATTTCAAAAACTGCACTTATGCGCCTTGTCCTCCAAGTCCCTCAATTCTAGTATGCTAGTGACATAATGTGCTCAGATTGAGCACCAGCTTGTCAGCAAGATAGCGGACAGGGGCAAATTAATCTATGATAGGTACCTTTCACTGGAAAAAAAAACACATTGGATATAGAGTCCAGACTCTTGAAAACATCGACAAGAAAAAATACTCTGGATTCAATCGGATTTTTGCTTGAATCAAAACGAAATCCGCTTAAATTAAGAGGCTTGGCTCTTGATTTAAGCTAGATTCTGATTGAATCAAGAGTACTTTTTCTTGTCGATGTTTTTAAGAGTCTGGACTCTAGATCCAATGTGTTTTTTTCCAGTGTTATTGAATGCTTCAAATGTCAAAGTACGGAGAATGATAATCGTTTTTCTATAATTTACTTTTTGGCAGCAGTGAACTTTTCCCAAAATTGATAGTTGAAATTTGGATGAGCAAGTTCTTTCATCTCAACGGTGCTCATCTTTTTCGGGGAACTCAAAAATACGCCAACGTAGAACACAGTTGAGCGCTCCTCTCCGATAAAAAGAGGCCCTAGGGTAAAAAATTATATACGGTCTCATTATTTAAAAAAAGTACAAGCTAGTGTTAAATAGGTAATTGAAAAGTAAGTCATCGGAACCATCTCCGGGAAGTTTCGTCTATGAGGGCATCTCTGAAATAAATTGCCCCGAAATTTTGAAAATCCAGTAACCACATTCCCAGGATAATTATTTTGACATTCTGTCGAAATGTGAATACTCAATTTTTTCGTTATACTTTTGGAGATATAGAAGAAATCTTCACATGAAGAATAAAAAACCTCTTAAAAATAATAGCCTTGCTGAATTGTGCGCGTTGCGGTTTCAGCCTCGACGCAGAACCATACTTCTAGGTTTAATTGTAGTTTTTTGCCACTTCGAATGAAGTCTAGGTTTAAACGAGATTTCTTCTCTGCATTTCAAAGGCATATATTCCACCTCAGTTCACCATTTCTTGGACAACATATTGAAAATTAATTTAGTGTTGAATAATTTCCACTCAAAACGCTTCAATAAAAATCTCCTTGATTTTTTGATAATCATGGGCAAAAATTAGCACGACTTTGGAAGGATGTTGCACAGCCATATCCTTATAAAAAGAGGATTGTTGAGTCAATGTTACAACCTTGGAATGGGGAACATTCTCTTCTCTGGAAAACGATGCATTGTCGGCCCGCGAGCAGTGTCCTCTCCTCGCCTGCAGTTCACATAATTACAGTTCAGTTCAGTTGCGGTGTCTCTTTGCCCAGTGTGAATTGCCTGCAATTCACTCGTTAGGCAACTTTTCATACTGTGCCTCTCTTTCCTTTTGCTGGTGTTCCATTTTTGACGTGTATCTTCACAAATCTGGACAGATTTCAATCAAAAGGAACTATATCCATTATGGGATAAATCCTGTCATGCATGCTGTAAAAAATGCATGAAACCTTGTGGATCTCGAGGCTCATGTCAGTATGGATATAGTTTCTTTCGATTTAAACATGTCCACTTACCGAATCCAAAATCCATTTTGAACAGTGACAACAGCAACGGCAAACATCATCAGCGCAATTCTCAAATATTCATTTCCCAACCTTGAACTTTGAGTTGCTCCCGAACATACGCGGATCCAGAGGGGTGTAAGATGCGCGGACGCCCCCCCTCCTTCTCCTTTGTTCGCTCGAAAAAAAGGGGGGAAAGGGGAGAAAGGTGGAAGGGAGGGATGGAAGAAAAGAATAAGAAAGGACGCTTCTTATTCATGACAAAATTGACTCGAGCTGCGTATTAATGCTTCAAAATTTTGAAATTCTTCTAAAGGAAGCACCCCTGACCACCCTTACGCCCCTCCCCCCACGAAGTATCTTAGTCCGCCTATGCTCCCGAATAATATATTTTTTGGAATATTTCACGTCAAATCGTCGTTTCCGGGACGAAGGAACGTAACTCTATTCCCAGGTTGCAAAATTGACTCAAACAATTAAATTATTCACACGAATATATCTGTGCAATTTGACTCCAAAATGTTACTGATTTTTGCACGAGATTAGAGGAATAATCATTGACATTTTCAGTCAGGAATGTCCAAGACTCTCTCGGCAAAGTTACAATAACTATAACAATAAGGGGGAAACTTGACAATATTTGAATGTAGTTACGATCTTTCGTGAGGAAACCGACGAAACGACACAGAATTACTGATTCTAAACTGTAGTGTAGTGTAGCTATATCATTTTTCCTCCACCATAGAACACATTTTGCCTCCATCAAAAATGTTTGCATAATTGGACGTATTTCTACCAACGAACAGACCTATGTGGAGGTGAGAAATATGGGGTAAGCTCGTTAGTTCTCTTTGCGTAAGAGTGAATGAGAATAATAAAGCGCTAGTGACGTCAACGGAGATCGATCCGCTGTCATCCCGCTTCCGCTTCATCTTTAACTCATGAGCCCTGTCCACAACGCTCTCTTGCCATGCCCGCGGCTCATGAATCCCACATTTAGTTGGCACATTAGAATGTAAAATCCCGCTTTTCCAATTCTTCAAAAGGAATCACGCCTACTCACCACATTGCTTCTCATCCAGCTTCGACGAGCACACCCCATATTTCTCATCTGCACATGGGTCTGTTTGGTAGAAATACGTCCAATTGTAATATCCTCTATGCTTTGCGCTGACATTTCAAAGGAGATTTTGTGATCTCTTACTACTGTTTTCAGGTACAATGCGTGATTCTGTGGAGTTTAAACGTCGTGGCAATTGGTACGGCCGCCCCTCTGCCGGGCGAAGGAATTAGTTTAATCGACTTCCTCATGGCTTCCTCGGCCAAGAATGTACAGAGGATATCTTTTGGGCCTGACGACGGTCTGCGTTATAGAAAAAGCTACGAGGAGAAATACGGTCCTCGAGGCAGGGACTTGGTCGCCATGCTAGGCCAGGGTGACGTCAATGTTGGCTCTGGAGGATATTTCTCTTTTGGGAAAAACAGGGAAAAAGTAAGTTTTGCCTCTAAGAAACTTCCTACTGCACAAGGATACATGAGAGACTTTGAGGACAAGGCGCATGAGTGCAGTTCTTGAAAAAAAATGATATATTGATGATTTCGAGTAAAAATAGTCTTAATAATGCATATTCTGCGAAAAATTCGCTCCCAAATTCCAATTTTTAAGCATGAAAAAGTCAGTTTGAACTTTCTTTTCACCGTGTAAGCACAGAAAAAAAACACATTAGATCTAGAGTCCAGACTCTTAAAAACATCGACAAGAAAAAATACTCTTGATTCAATCGGATTTTTGCTTAAATCAAGAACCAAGCCTCTTAATTTGATCGGATTTCCTTTTGATTTAAGCAAAAATCTGATTGAATCAAGAGTATTTTTTCTTGTCAATGTTTTCAAGAGTCTGGACTCTAGATTCAATGTGTTTTTTTCCAGTGAGGGATTCGTGTAATTTCGTAATTTCAAAAACGTATTTTTCGAAATAACAAAAACTGCACTTATTCGCCTTGTCCTCCGAGCCCCTCAAATATGAAAAACGGACTTATAGATAGAGTTTTGAGTGAAGGTAATCATAGTCCTGGGAGCATAACCACACTCTAGCATAATATTTGCAACAGATTGGTACATATTCCACCAGAACTTTGATTGCCTTCGCCTCAAAAGTCTACCTGAGTCCAAAACCCAAGAGGGGTTGAAGTTTACATTCTACGTTGATTCTTATGGAGAAATAAAACTTCAGACCTCTTTTTGGTAGCTAGATACTTGACCCAATTTTTTTCACCCGATATCTAATTTGGCCAACTAATTTAATCCAAGTCATTTGGCTGTGTTGCTCACGTCGCCCTTTAAGCACCGCTACAAATAAGACAAACGGAACCGACACAACATGGAAACAGAGTAAGAGAAAGTATTCACTTCGATAACGGCGCAGAGATACAACTATTCGTGCTTGATGGATATCCGTGTTGTATCTGCAAAATTGCTGGCGCGATGCGAGCGGACTCACGATGCTCCGCTCTATGCCGTCAATGAGGTATCGTTTTGATTCGAGAGAAAAGGTAAAAACAAGGTCCGATTACATCTCTCGCATCTTTGGCTAAAAGACGGACGGAACCAACACAGCATGGGGACAGAGCAAGGGAAAGGTCGCGCGTTGATGACGGCGCAGGGATACAACTATTCGTGCTCGATGGATGTCCGTGTTGCATCTGAAAAATTGAAGGCGCTGTGGCACTAGGCGTGAGCTCGCGATGCTGCGCTCCATGCTGCCAATGAATTGCCGCTCTCATTCGGGAGATAACTTATGATAACCAAACCCAAAAACGTCTCTCCTATCCTCGGTTGTGTTGATATTTGATTTTGTACTTTTTTTCAATTTGATGTCTTATTATTTTTTTAAGATGTATTTGTAGACCTACATCTCGGCTCGGATGTACCAGCCTTATAGAACCTGCGGAGTACGCAGAGGCAGATCCAGCAAGTTGGCAACACAGAATTTCCTCCATTTAAACCTAGCACCTGGAGCACCTGGCCCCTCCAAGAATCGATTTATTTCCAAAGATTTAAATGGGGAAATTCGGTGTTGCCAAATTGCTGGATCCGCCAATGGGAGTAAGTGTTTTCAGCGATCCTTGGGTGACCCAGCTTGGGCATCAAAGGAGTACATTCCATTATTTGGCGAAATCTCATCACCTATACCATAGCTTATAACTGGGCTTAGTAAACTATTGGTTCATAGAGCATTGCAGACAAAAAGCTGTTTAACTAACTTTATAAATGGACGATAAAAAATTTCGATCATACAAAATTGGGTAAAAAGTCTGGCCACCCTCTTTTTCTCAGTTTCAATTTGATGTGGGTTGGTTCCTTTCTGATGAACTCGGTCCAAATAACATGTAGAGCTCCACACTGGTCCGGTCGATATCAAGGAAAAATTTGAATCCGCGATGTGTGATGCCTCTGAAATTACTCACCACATCAGACCAAAAATGTAAATCTTGAGATCCATTTGAGTGCTCGCCTAAGATATAAGAGGTCGAAAGATTATTGTTGTAACTTATACCTAAGTACTTGTTTCAGGCGAAGGTGAAACGCAACAACCAGACCCAAAGATCACAAAAAGCAATATCATCAACAACGACGACTACAACAGAAAATCCAACGGATGTATCTAAAGAAACGACGTGATGTGATCATTTCAAAATCCATACATCTTTCTCTGATCTCCAGGAAGTCGCAAAGAGGCTGGTAAGGTGATGTTAGGGGTGTCTCTTCGACCATGACCTAAATTCGATTGAAAAGGCTCTTCTCTTTGAGTTCAGTAAATTCTTTCAGAGACGAAAGCTTCATTACAAAATCGATGAAAAATTCTGCCGTGCTAACGCAAAGCGCCGCACAGTGGATCGAGTCAATAAGAGATGTTGGACAAAATTTAAAACTTTAAAAGCTCATAACTCCGTTTTTACAAACTTTTAAGGTCTTCAAAATGGTCCCATTGGTTTTCTCGTAAAATTTTCTTTAAGGATCACCCCTCAAAATTTAAAATTTGACGAAATTAACATCTAAATTTGCGCTCGTAGTCAAAAAATTCATGTCCGACCTCTCGCATGGATTCGGTCCATTGTGCGCCGTATGAGCTTTTAAACGTTGCCAGATTACTTTCGATAAAATCCGAATTTCCTCAGAATTGTATGAATTTTCTAAATGAGTGTGCTCCCGATTGAATCTAACGTTTCTGAAACTTTAAAGGCAAAATATTCAAAACTTTTATAAAAATAAATATTTTATCGGGCAAATTTGGCGACATTTGAATGTTTATGAGGCGTTCTTTCTTAGCGTCGCAGAATTCTACTGTGCTCAGGAACCGCGTCGTTTATATATTGACAGGTTGCTATATTTTTGTCCATAAAATACGAATGTTCTAGACGATTTTACGGACGTTTCCTTTAAAGTTAGTGACAGCTAGATTTAGTGCCTCAAAATTTCAAGGGAAAATGTTCACGACCGGGGTTTATCTCAAAAATCAATAGTTCATGGGCGAAATTTGGCACCCTTTAGATGCTTACACGACGCTTTTTTCAGCATGGTGGTATATGACAGGATTAAAATTCCATCACCGTTAAAATATGTCTCGTCAACGAAATCAGACGTACTCAGAGTATGACAGAAATATTGAAATTGTTAGTAGGTTGGCACACTTCAAATATTAAAATGCATGTCACGGTTAAATATTTTAAACATTTTTTCATTAAAAAATTAAGTAATAAACTCCTTTTATCAGTTTTTCACGTTCACAGCTGCGAATGGTCAGTGACGATGTTTTTGTGCATTTATCTACTTCTCTACTCCTGCGTTTAAGTCTCCAAGAAAATTATGTACGTCAAAGACTTGAGTAGTACTCTATCGTGCTAAGGAAAAACGTCGTATGAACCTTCAGGCGTTGCCAAATTTCCTCCGGCAAATCACTAATTTTCAGGAAAATTTTTGAAAAAATTGCTGCCAATTTCTCAGATACTTTTGTCTGTAATTTGATCTAAACTGTCTGAAAACTTCAAGGAAAAATATTCACAATTTTCCTCAAAAATAAACATTTTATCGTGGGAAATTTGTTAACTCTCGAATGTTTATACGGCGTTCTTCCTTAGCACGGCAGTACTAGGCTAGGGGACCTTAATTAAATATTCATGACCTCCCAGGGGGCGCCAACCTGAGGAAGACCTGCGACTCATTGTTGAAAATTAAACATGCTATGAGGAGAACTACTGATGTCTACCAATTCATTATTGCCTGATGACAACTCACCGATACACCATTGAGCATAACTTGAGCAAGTTCATTAAACTACATTTTTATTACTAAATTGTTAGGTCAGTCAATCATCATCATCACGAGGAAAAATTGAAAGACATCATTTTGTGACAATAGTGTGGACCGAGCGATATTTTACCACTTAGTCTTATACATAGAATGCAATATGCACTTTAAACATTGCGAATTGCTTAAACTCTTTGAGACTTGTAAAGCAAATATTAAAATAAAAGATTAATGGGAAATACTGCTCTAATGAACTTGAACCCTGAGCCCCCCCCCCTCCCCAATTCTTTATATTTTTTGTTTTTTCTATTATTATTCTGACCTCAAATAGTGTATATTACTTATTGTGAATTTCATTGTTCCAGTCGTGCTGGACTTGGAATGTTCGGTTCCTTCTTTTCTTTTCTTGTACCGGCATGTAAAACATGTTCAAAGATTTATTTTTTGAAAGTAAAACAACAAGACATTTTTCTTATCATATTTTTAACATTTTTTTACCATTTGTTCTTACACAAACCATGTGTTTGCTATTTGTTATATGCAAAAGGATTAAAATGTCCGTTTCTATAGTTAATTTATTTTTGTTGCAAAAGCAGCGTTTTTTTAGCTATGGGACTGACAAAAAATGTGATATTCCAGATGATATTTTTTAACATAAGAAAATCTCCCTAGTAACACATTCTTCATGGATGAGTAAAAAAAAATTATTGAGTTTTGAAATTATTGCTACTATAATTAAAAAATTTTTTCTCATGTAACAATGAAAACAGAGTAAATCCCTCGATGTACAAATATATTCAAAAGTCGATTTTTCGCCCCCAATTTATTAGCTATTGGAAGTTCTTTAAACGTATCACATTCCAAAATTTATGATAGAATAACTTTTAAACTAAAAGTTTTTTTTGTCTCTTTTTCGAATAATGCGTTCTTGAGGAGAAAAGCAGTTGCTAGTTTCAAATTTTGGTTTCAGTTAGTGATAGATAAATGTCTAAATCGCAAGTATTTATCAAAGTATCGAAATTTTTAAATTTCCCTGTCCAGTGAACAAATTAGAAACGTCAGTAAAGAAGCTGGTAACAATACTGCTCTTGTTAAGCGGTTGGATCGTTCATAAATCTGAAGGGGATTTAACACGATTTAATTGACACGCAGAATTACAATGGAAAGCAGCATCTTTCTGAATCCACAACGAATTCTGTTGAAGTATTAAAAGAGTGTTTCATCTTTTTTGGCATCGCTATTTGCATTGCCTTTTCTATAAAATGTTTCCTCATTGAACGATCGCTGGTTTTTCTGCATGCATTTTCTTTTGATCATTCGCAACATCATAGTTATCCTTTTCGATTCATTCGTTGTTGCACAAGCAGCGAGTGTAAATATTTTTAGTGGTTATCTTTTCCGTGATTAAGACCAAAATAAGTGGATTCTAGGTTGTAGAATGGGTGTTGGAAAGATTTTGTGGAATTTCATGAATCCAGAGAACTTAGGAAAAATCCTAAAAAATAGAAGGAAAATCATCCTTGAATGCGGAATAATACAAAACTTTATAAAAAATATATATATTATCAATAAATTAAACAATCTTTCGACTTCCACATGATAACAATCCGATTTCAAAACAACGTATTCCAACTAACAAAAAGAACATTCGCAAAATACCGATACACTCTAAAATTTAGTATTTACAAAATTTGTATTGCAATCGTGGCCTTTTTCGATGGATTTTTTTCTCTATTACAACATTTTTTTAGAAACCTAATTTTAAAGACCCTCTAGGATCAAAACAATAAGCTTCCTGTACAAAACTTATACAATTATAAATATAGGTACCTTTGTAATAAATTTACGGAAACTATTTATCACGCAACTTGATCTTTTCACCTTGTGTTAAATTCATAGGTAATTCATAACATAAAAAATCAGAAATGTGTAGTGTTTTGATCCTGAAAAGGAGACAAATTTTTTTAAACTTCTACATGCTCAATATTTTGATTCTAGGGACTCTTTAATCGTAAAAAAATTAATAATTTGATAATACAGGAATAAATTAAAAATACTACTTAACTATATAAGTACTTAATGTTATTGTCATACATTGAAAGGAAAAAAGTATAGAACAGACAACAGAAGAAAAAAGTTTCCCAACTACCGATAAACAACGTACTAGTATTGAAGAGAAGCCTATGTTAAGCAATAACATATACAATCCACTTTTTTCTTTTTAATTTCTTTTTTTAAAAAAAATAAAGAATTTAGGCGTATAAAAGAAGACAAAGAGGAAAACTAGGCTTACAAATAAATATAGAGAATGAAGTGAACACATACATAAATGATATTTTACTTACATATGATTCTCCGTTGAATAGGTGCACTTTCTATTAATACTACATTTGTTTAAGAGAACGGCAACAGGAAAAAACAGAAATAAGTTATCTTCACCGGCCAAAATATTAATAGTCTCGAGCGTTCGACGTTCCCTTAAAGCGCTGGGATTTTAGGTGGAGCATTTACAAAAAACGATCCAATGTCCCACATTAGAAATGCGCTATGGATTACTTTACAAGGACGTTGTATCAAAGGGGCCAAAAAAATATAAATCCAAAATTTCTTTTTCTCAGACGAGTGAATCACAACGTAAATAATAAATGAAAAAAAAGAAAAGAAAATCATGTGATTCTCTCATTGACAGCTATTCAATCGGAACAATTAAATAGGTGAAAAAGAAAAAAAATACTTGAAAAAAATTTAGTCATTTTACAGAGAGAGAGAGAAAACATCATAAAAAAACTTCATTATATTTAAGGCTATTTTAAATTTTCAGTGGAATGGATTTGAAACGAGCTCAGGGAAGAAAATGCCGCAGACAGTTCTACTCAGACACTATAGCTGAAAAAGCAATAATTAAAAGGGTTCATTTTATCTTTCCCTTGTTATACTTGTTTATATTCTTCTATTCCTTCTCTTTCTCGCGTTTTTTCTTCTTCATATCCTCCTTCGTCTTTCTTTCTTAGAAAGGCACCAACCGTTCCGTTTCAGCGTTCACAACCAACGTGGTGCTTTCATCCATCTGGACTGGACCAGGCTGTCAATGTCATATCCAATCTGTGTAAAACATTGCATCAAAAATTCGTCCAGCCCAGTGTAAATGGTTTTTTAGAATCAGCTTACATGTCATCAACGATCATATTTTCGCACCCGTTCTATTTAAATTCACTTGTGCGCAGCCCGCCAAATTAGCGTTGATGTAACACACCTTATTGAGGAATATGGAGACTTCAGTGTGTGTTCTTCACACTCCCACATATAATATGTATGTCAATTATATTGCCAATAAAATAGCCAATTCAGAAGCCCGAAGTATTGTATCCCGGATCATCTCCATCTGCTCTCGTTTTTCAATCACTTTCGACATGAAATTCATTTTTGCATATTGGTAACACTTATTCCACCCCTGGTTGAAATATCATTCAAGAAAAAAAAAATCTATACCTACCTAAGAGTTAAAATTATACCTATATTTTACAGAACAAATTATATCCTGAATTAATCCAACCTCCCAACCATCAGGCCAAAGAACGTCTAAATACAGCGAGTATGTTCCACCCTCTATAAAGTGTCTGATTCTCTTCTTTGGAAATTAAAATTGAATGGTTTTAAATCGCGGCTTGATAAAACATTTAATACAGGTCTAACACATGTACAAACCTTCATGAACGTATTTTCATAAATGTGAATATATTCCATTTGTTTTTCCCTACAAAACTGATGGGTATTCAAACTTTTCTTTTGCTTTGCCTTTCTTTCGATACATCTAGGAGTGGTGGGAGATTGAATTAACGACTGAAAAAAAATTATAGAATGAATAATTACTAAGTGATTAAAAATCAATATACAACGCTGACTAACAGCTGAACACTAGCGCTCTAATTTGCATAGCAAACTTTAAACCCACATGGAAATGATGTACAGATCTCGAAGACGGTCGAAAGGAAAATACCGCAAGGAAAATTTTATGCACACGTATTATCAGCGAAATATTGTGCTTTGCTCGAAGAATGACAAACTTTGATTCCGTATCTTCGTGCTGTGCAGCTGTCAGATTTATTGAATCTTAGGATAGTTCTTCCCTGGAGCTTTGTGAAATAAAAGAAGATGTATCAGCCGTGAAAAATGATCGTATATTTTGACGTTTCTTTGAACACAATTTTCTTTTACATGAAAAAAGTTCGGCACGTATATTTCAGCACGAGTGCTCTGCAGATTTTCGATTGGGTAATGAGTTTTTTACGATCTCTTTTCAAATTCTCGATCGGGAAATACATTGGTACATGGTGATATAGTATGATACGTGATTGATAGCTGGTAATTTTTGAAAAGGACGTCCCTTAATCCCGACATAAAATTGGTTTAATACCGATCTTCGACCCCAGATCGAAAATAACCTCACTGACTCAGTTCGGACTGATTGTGAGTAATTTTATTTTATGATGACAAGATCTCTTCTTTTTTTGCGACTGGAATGGATTTTTCAGCAGGTAAGTCTTTAAAAATTTCCTTTCATCGGGTATGAAAAATTTGCTATGGCATCTAAAATTATAGTTATTCGTTTGTACTCTAATCTTTGAAAGCTAAAAATCACAAATTGCAAAATTGAAAACAACTTTCAGTTTGGCAGGGAAGGGCATGGCACGACTTGACGTTACCATACCCTTCCCCTAGATATTGCTTTGACCTCCATTTTCTATCGTTAGTTCGTTGTTCTCACACTCGACTAGAGTGGCTAAAACAACTAATAGTATTTCCATCGTAACAATCGTAAAAGCAATCATTTTCACGGCTGTTCTAGATTTTTATAATAGCGTGATACTAAATTTATCGAATAATAGTATATCGCAACTTTGGCATTACAGGCAAAAATAAATCCAATAAAGTTCCGTGAACCTGTGAACGCGGAACTAAATCTACTTATCCGCTACTTCGTTCTTCGTGGAGCTCTCTAACTACGAATCTTTGGGTTAATGAAGAATAACGAGGTTAAGATTCGGTAGATTTAGTAGATTCCTTCGAGTGGTGAGTAGTATTTGTAAGGGTACAAATCTGGCCCTCCATATCCGTAGAGCAGCTTGCCATTGCCGTTCTCGTCATAGTAAGGATATCGGTACTTTGGTCTGAAATAAAAACCGATAATAATGGAATTAGTAAACGATGTGGCCGATCCACATAGACAACATAATTTCAAAAGAAGCTGGAAATGCTGCAAAATTTTCAAACATGTTTTTTAGACAAAATAAATAAATAAGAATAGTTCTACTTACTTAATAAAATTATTCTAATGCTGCCTTGCTAAGGAAAAACGCCGTATGAACCTCCAGGTATTACCATTTCCTTTGATATAACACGAATTTCCTGGTAAACTTATGAATATTTTTTCCCCCAATTTTTCTTATAATTTTTCTCGCAATTTCAACTAAGTTCCTGATAATTTCAAGGAAAAATATTCATAACTTTCCTCAAAACTGAACACATTACCGAAGGAAATCTGCCAACTCTCAAATGTTCGTGCGGCGCGTTCTAGCGCTCTTCCTTACCATGACAGAATAGTAGAGCATCTAATCGTGGTTTTCAAAGAGTGTTCGTAATTTTTATTCCGATATCAATCGGTATCTCAAATATCCAAATAGAGAGTAACTATCTACGTGGCATTATAATATTAAAATAAATATATTGGACTTACAGGTTTTGCAGAATGATTTTTGATGTAAAATGATGTATGATTTAAAATAAAAACGATACGAACCTTTCAAAGTATTGGAAATTTGGAGCCCTTGGAGTGAGAGTAGCGGCAGACTCCAGCAGCATAGTCAGGAATACAAAAATCCCTGCGACCAGAAGGGATAGCCTCTGAAAAAAAAGAAAGAAAAATACACAAAATAAGTGAATATAATAAAATAAGCGATAGCCAGAATTGAAAGAGTGGCCCCTCCAAAATGGGAGTGGGTGAAAATGGGTTGTTGCCAACCTTATAGACGTTTATCGCCTGCTGCATCTATTACCATAGTCATTCTAAAGTTTCAAGCTGATTGTTTCCAAAATTCAATGCAAAAAATCGGTTTAAATATAAATCAAACACGTCAGAGTATGAGACATGAATAAAGTTTCTCGTCGCACATAGAGATGAAACCTAATTATCTGCATTTTCAAATCATCTGCATGGGGCAGAATGCTTGGAGACTTAAACGCGGTGTTAGAAAAGTAGATAAACACATAAAAACATTGCAAGTAGGCAACACTGTTTTTCTTCCATTTAAATGTATGTAAAACAATCGATACTCGATGAGGCAGCTCTGTTTATCGTTTTATATGTTTTATTGAGGGAAATTTGGCAACTCTCGAATGTTCATGCGGCGTTCTTCCTTAGCACGGCAGTCCATGTCTACGCGACAAACACAACATTGCTGCAGCCCGCTGTGGTCATACTCTATCCATAGAGGTACTTGGGAGACAACTTAAATCCGCGGTCGGCGAGTCGGTGTGAAGCGATTAATATCTCTTTTCCTCACCGCATCGCGTCGCATCGGTTGAGTCAGCGTTATGACAGCGCTCTTTCTCCCTGTAATTCCTCACTCCTTCCTACCGCTAAAACGGCTCGGGATATCCCATGTTACGATCACTCTTACTTTCATCTCGATCCGGTGAGCGCCGCGCTGGAGATGGCACGACACCCGACTCTACCCCGTTGGGGGGGGGGGGGGGCTGGTGTGCGGAGGGGCAACACGCGATGGAGGGGAGGCGAAAGGAGGTCACAACTTTCCCATTTCCGAAACGCGACGCGACGCGGCGCTCAGCCGATAGCTTTGGAGTTCGGACTTCGGTCGCTGTCTTAATAGCTTCGAGTCGAGATGCCGTTCGGCCGTGCTAAGGAAAAACGCCGTATGAACCTCCAGAAGTTGCCAAATTTCCATTTGTAAAACACGAATGTAATGGTAAACTTTTGAATGTTTTTCTTGCAATTTTTCGGATAATTTTGTCCGCAATTTCACCTAAAGTTCTTGAAAATTCCAAGAAAAAATATTCATAACTTTTCTCGAAAATAAACATTTTATTGAAAGAAATGCGGCAACCCTCCAGTGTTCATACGGCGTTCTTTCTTAGCACGGCAGCTTTGCCATGCTAAGAAAAAACGCCGTATGAGGCATGAACATTTGAAGGTTCCCAGATTTCAGGGGGCAAAATTCTAATTTTCGAGGGAATTCATGAGTGTAGTTCCTTGAAATTTTCAGATACAGTGGAATAAACTACGAATAGAATTATCAGAAAGTTGGAATAAAAATTTTCATACAAATTCGCACTGATCTCCTTAGCACGCCAGCAGCAGTCTTTTATTTCAGTGTGTTAATGATAGGGCATTTGTAGGGGCCCCTCGGGGGGGGGGGGGGGGATACATATGCTATGCACGATAGCCACTTGATAGACGACAAGATTCGGAATTCGAGGACATTTACTTGGGATAAAATCTGCTTGAGAGGCCGCATCTACGGGCTGATTATTTAAATTGATAGACAAAGCGATAGTTATCGGCGATTCTTGAAAGTTGGCAAGACAGCTTTTCTTCCATTTAAATGTATGTGAAACAATCGATTCTCACTGAGGTAGCTTGCCTCGATCGACAAATCAATAGTTTCAAAATGCTGATTCTTAAACGCCACGAAAATGGTCCGCTCATCCATATGCTTCATCTGACCGAGAAATTGGATTTCCAATTTCGATTTTGTTGGTTTGCTTTTTTACCCCTGCGTTTAAGTCTCCTAGCGAGCGTACATTTTAACGAGGATTCAACCACCTCCCGGGGTTGAAATACTGACATCAATACCATACCCTCTTGACCCATTACTGTGTGGTGCCCTTATGACACTCGTTTACGATGTTTTAGAGTTCCTATCTTTATACTTGAATCACTGTTGCCGGATATTGCAATCGGAATTTCTCCGCATTTAAAACCATGTAAAATATCTTTATTTCATTGCAGAACACGGCACCTCTGAGTTGCATCAGTCGACGTTATAAAAACCGATTAAGTCTATTTCCTGACATCTTTAGGTAAGGACGTCGATGGCTTAAGTGCGAAAACACGTATCTCCGGTTGCGATGTTGCAGACCTCCTGTCTTTTTTTATTTTTCATTTAGACAAATTGTAAATTTTATTTATCGAAAACTTCCTTGAGTTTCCTTCTCTGTTGGCAGAATATTTTTTATAAATCCAAGCTACAAAGTTGCAGGTCTCTCTTTGAAAATAAAATAGTAGCGGAGATTTTGAAACACTGCGATGGAGATACGCGGTTTCGCACTTTGGCCGTCGACGTGTTCAATCGACCAATCGGAGGAACTGACGTCGAATCATGATTCATACATGATAAACATACATTTCCATAAGACGTTGTCATTTACATACAAATGTCACACAACTGTTTGGTGTAAGATATGAGTGTGTGTGCGCGCTTAAGCAATTATGAAAGATTCATATAGGTATACTGCGGTGAGCGCGAATTTTAAATGAAAAAATTATGCGATGAGCAAATTCCTAGTAAATATGGTATTTGCTGCACACTACTCGATTGGATTATGAGATAACACGATTAATTAAACTGCATAATCACATATCCCGATTGTGACATTTCTAATTTTTTTCACGTGTTTTATTTTTTAGAGGTAAAAAAAAACCAACATTGTGGCTCGAAATTTTTGCAGTGTAACCACGGAACGCTGTAACGATAAAGCAGAGGAATTTTGAAGCCAATGCATTGATAAGTTTTACATTTAAAGAATAAAATTCGCACAAGAACTATAATTATACGAATTTGAGATACGTGATTTTTTAGTGCAGCCATCGAGCGTAGTATGATGTATCCAGCGAATTTTAAACGTTTTTCTTTGCGGAGGTCAAAAATAAACTGAAAATCGGAGGCATTCATCTGATGGCTACTGAAACGGATTCTGCTGCTTTTAGGTATCAGCGAAAAGTCAGGAAGACACTAAAATGCAAATAGTGGATTTTCCTTGACGTTCTGTGCATTCGAGACTTTTTAAGAATCAGTGAGGAGTCTTAATGAGCCAATTGATAGAGCTAATTTTGAATTGCATTGTGAGATTAAAGATCCAACATTCCGCACGATGTACAGGGCAAACTTTCAAAAATTAATTTTATGTAAGAGATTAACATTTACAATTAATTGAGCATGACATCGTCAATTCATTTTTTTGGTCTGACGCAGACCCTCGAAATTGATGGCTGTTAGAAAATTATCAGTTTTCAAAGACGACCTTTTACAGCCCCCCGCACCCTCATTTTTATCTCTCCACTGATATTCTACGCAAACTGTCGGCCAATTTTGCAAACTCTGACTCATCCACGACAGAGATGCAAAACAGAACCGATTCACTGTTACAAACCTCATTCGGATGCCGCACTTTGAAATGAAGTGGGTCAAGGAGTGAGAACAACGCCGCGCCGTGAGAATGACTCTACTAAACCTTAAATCGTTAAAAACGTTGCAATTTTTTCCTCTCATTCAATACTTGAATCGGCTATTTTTAAAACTTTACGTGTCTTCTGTCTAACGAGTCCTAGAATATAGGCATTCTTATAGAGCTCGGAGCTCATCTGCAGTAAAGAAACGTGTGAGGTTTTAAAGGCAATTGATTAACTTGTCATGTCGGCAATGAGGAGAGAAAAAAAGTGTGCATGGCTGAGACAGAAACTGACCAATCAAATACATGGGAGACAAATTAACCAAAGCCAATGTATGACTGGCAGTTAAAAGTGCTGTTCGTTGCTTTCAAATCCGATTACTTTTGAGGATGAAGAAGCGGAGAGAAGTTATGGGCAATCAGTGGCGTAGCGAGCATTGCGATGTATCGATCGATTCGTCATTTAAACCTATGGAGAAGGGTCGATAAACAAGGTGTTCGCAACGAACATCTTAATAATCGATTCTTTACCGTAGCTTTAAATAGGAAAATATCGATAATCGATCTTTCACGCCTCGCCACTGTATTTTATCCTTTTATTTAGATACTTTTTAATCGAGTGTTCATCCCGCATAACGCTGACAAATGATTCAGTCCTAAAGAATTGAACCGAGATATACTATGCTATGGCTGCACTCAAAAACAACGTAGGTGCATGATTGCAACTTCTTCAATTTTTGCTTGAAAACTACATTTTACAGGAAAATCAAATCAACATCATAACCCATAATTTTTACAAGTAGCCAGGGAGTGATAGAAAAAATATGGGAAAAAGTTCTAGCTATGATTTTGATTTATTTCCCTCTACCCTGCAAACAACGGAAATTTCGTAGGATATTCTGAGAATATTCCTTGGAAAATTGGAAATTTCTCTGAAGATTCCGGGGAATGTTCTGGGAATATTATTTATTTACCCACTNTAAATATAAAGCATGCTTAGGAATTTTAAAATGTCGCAACTCAAATAGATGGTTTTGGAGTTTAACCGTCGAGTGGTCTCCAGGTATGGGTTACGTAAAAAGGAACGGCATTTTCTTAATTTTGTCCTCTGAAAACAGACTAAAATCTTCCAAAAATGCCTGCCTCAGACATTTCATTTCGGCAAATCTTGTTCTGAGTAAAAGGCATTCTTAGTTCATTTATCAGCGATGATTTTATTCTTCTCTAATGAATTTTGCAGCGGTACGTGTATATACACAAATTGAAGAATTTCTCCTGAATTATCGGCGGCTTCTGTAGCGGTCGGCATGGCATACAATTCGTTCCCAATTATCTGATTTTCCTTGAAATAACTGCATGCGGATATTTGTCGGTATACCAACTCAGCGGCGAGGCGTTAATGATTGTCGATATATTTCCCCATTTGAATCTGTGGT